TTTCTCTCTCTCTCTCTCTCGAGATAAATATATTATCTGCCCTCAATATCTGATATTTAATTCATCCAGGGAAAATTAATCGCGGAATTAAAAATTTTATTTCATTAAAATAATTTAGGTATTGATTTTACTATTCTGGTGGTTTAATAAATAAATAAAAATTTTATCATTTATTTAATATAGGAAATTATTGAATTTTTTTCATGATGAAAAATTGACGCGTTCGATTTTTTATCTGAAAGATTTTAATAATGGATTTTCGTTAATTTATAAATGACTGGGGGATCTGACTGGTGGAGTCGCGGAACATGGAGTGTTATTATTTAGTGGATAAATGGGAAAACATGGTAGAAAGCATTGACCATTGTCCATGTGTGAAACGTGCTCACCCCGGGGCTTTCAAAGTTATTATCCCCCGAGATGTTTGTGGCGAATGGACATTCATGGGATACTCTGGTCATCTCTACTTTGGCGAAGTAAAGAAAGTACTGTTTGCTGAACGATAGAACCCCTGAGTTGTATTTACCCATCACTCAAAAATATCTAACAAAATATTTCACCCATACCACCAAAAATCTCCCCAAGTGCTTGATAATTCTGTAATTATAATTCCTCAATTGATAATTTGCAGGGGAAAATTCAAAATGTCAGAGCCTGTGGTAATTGTGGGGTGAGAAAACGGGGGAATTCCCGGGCTTTGTGGGGGAGCAAAATAATTCACTTTATGGGGTTGAAACAATTATCTCGTGTGCAATTATCGAATTTGATTGGTGGAATTTAATACATCAAGTGGTTCTTATGGATGTGGGAGAAAATTCAATGGATATATACTTTCTGTAGACACTTTTCATGGGAAAATAACAGACTTGGCGTCTTGCCACTCGACAAAAATTCCATTTACCTTGCGAATAGCAAAGCGAAGATGACAAAGTCCTCGTGGGGTGGGTTAAAATTGAAAAATTGCTTCTTTTAGTGGTTCTCAGGATAGTGCCGCACCCCTGGGACACCGGGACACAAAACCCTATAGAAAAATAAGTAGATTTCGGAGATATTTCAGAAAGACTCGACGCTTTGACAATCAGACGCTCAAGTCTCCTGGACCCTTTGGTTATTCCTCTCAATATCACCAATTGTCCAGATATTTTTATGAAATTTCTATCAATATTTCCATTAGATCCCATTACTAATTGGGATAGGTCGTCAATTATTATCAACTCATCAATTATAAATTTAGGACAATTATCCGGGAAGATTGAATTTTTCATTTTTTATTTTATATATTTTTTTTTTTTTGAATTTGCAGTGATTTTTAGAATATATTTTTTTTTTATCAGGAAAATTATTGCAGATAAATTCTTTTCTGAGGGAATATGTCACAATGGTACAGTGAGATTACTATGAAATCCTTCTTTTGTCATCCTCAACACACGTTGAAGTAATATCAATCCGTGATGGTATTATCCCCTGACAATAACCCCACAATCATTCTGTAACGTCTTCGTATCAGGTTTCCTTCCCCGAGTAAAGGATGAATTTCTATGGGTCATGCACTGATTACTCCAAGAGTAAAATAAAAGCCATGAAATTTTATTAATTTTAAAACACATTTATTCACTACTATGTACAGATGTACATTACACATGAGAAATATTGTTTATATTCAATACGAAATTAGGAGATTAAATCCAATTGATTACAATAATTTAACTGTATGGTACATTTATTTACAACTATTAAATGATTTTTTTTTTTTTCAATTTATGTTACAGATATCCAGAGATTTGGAGAATAGGGTGAGTCAATATACATTATATATTATATAATATCTAGAAGCTCGGACTTACTTCTACGTGTCACGAATTCTCGTGATAATATTACATCGTGAAAGCTACAGTTAAGCAGTAGCTTGGGCATTATTTATTTGCGCGGTACAGCATCACTTATTGTTATTAATTTATCGGTTACTTTACATGTTTAACATTGCGTTTATTTGAATGCACATCCTGTGAAGTACACTGAATTATTCAATTATACATCGACTAGATTTCCCAGATTTTAACGTTTTTCTATAGATTATAGAGGTATTAACGACTAGGGAACGGACTAGAATCATTATTATTTTTTTTTATTTATTAGAATAGACTCGGTCGTTGAACACACTTAGATATTATCGATAGACATTGATCGTTAGCCTAGGGTGATATTCTAGTCGGATAATTAATTTCTTAATTACACGAGGGATTTTAATCTAGGTTCTTTGGACTAGACAATACTCCTGCATTCCAAACGAGTGGAATGAGATAATAATGGGAAAATCATAATGAAACGAAAAATCAAAATTCACACGGTGTAATTTAATTTAAAAAAATATAAGTTCTCGATAATTTGACGGAATTTTATGATTATACACTAGGGTTCTTTGATATTTTTAGCTGTATGGCTGGAATATTGTTATTCCATGTCTGAAATATTAAATTACTCTTAAATTCAATGATATGCATAAATTAAATACTAGGGGTATAATTAGGTTGGATTATTAATTTTGAAAAATAAATTTGTTGATAAATTCATAAAGCTCTTCAAACGAATCGTCGAAATCAATAAATTCTTGTCGATTTGGCATCCGATTTCTTACGACTAGATTTTCAATTTTAAATTAACGTCCCGCGTATATTTTTACTTGATTATGAATAACTCGGAATTCGTTGAGTGGATTGAAAAAATTCTGCCGTTCATTTTGAGAATTTTGATTGAATTTTTAAAATGAGACAAAATTTATTGGAATCCTCTCGTCTGATCACGAGATATTTCGTTTTTAAAAATTCTCAAATATCACTATTTCTCTGACTAGACTCCACAATATTAATCAAATGATCATTAATATTAATTATTATTATTTTTTTAATAATATCAACAATATCAACTATTATTAACGAAGTAATAATTAATATTAATATCGTTTTTTAAGCTTCTGAATGCCGAAAATTTTTGAAAATTCACACAGCGCTGTGAAAAAATTCAAGGAATTCAATTCATCCATTAAAATACTATCACTATTCATGACTAGATCTTACAATAATATCGACTAGATATTTTCAGTATTCCGCTGAATATTAAAAATCATGAGAAGTGAAAAATCGAGATTGATATAATTTTTCGGATTTTCCCACCGATTAATCTCCTAGACTATTGATTTTACGAGGAAAAATGAAAAGACCTTTTTTCTCGATCATAAAAGGACCCCCAAAAAAGGTCCTCTAACGATTCCCCAAAAATCGATACTTTTCGAGATAAATCAAGAATCGGTAAGAGGAATCGTCAAATTCTTCTGCGATCTCACTTTCTGATATATTAATAATTCCATCCCCCTCTCCCCCCATAATTATTTTGATTGTGCACTCACATACATCGAAAGCCAAATGGAAAAACCCGAAATTACATGAGATCGAGTCCAAATCTCCAGTAAATACCAGGTCGTCGGGGTAGTGGTCTTGCAGGAAATTGGTGTCAGGCGACTTCGGTGGTTGTCGGTGTAATTCCATGTGGCATACCAATTTTAATTCCCATATTTCCCTCCAAATTGTCCACGTTGTTGTTGTTGGTGGTGTTGTCCTCTGGATGCTGAGTAACCAGGTGCTTCCTGAGGGCGGCTTGTCTTGAGAATTTGGCGTCACATTTGCCACATGAAATTTCAATACCCCCAGGTGTATTTTCACCAGGTGGTATTCGTGGTTTGTGCCATCGTCGATGTGACGCCAAATTAGCTGGACATGAGAAACGTTTGTCGCACTCTGGACACCGATATTCAACGTGTGCTATTCTGGAGCAGCGATGTTGGGCCAATTGGAATGCATCATCGTGCAGCTGTCGGCACAATTTGCACTGATAGGGACCGAGGCGATTTTCAATTTTAGCGAGTTCGGCGCGTGCCTCTTCCGTTACCTCGACGATGTTGAAAGCGGGATCGATGTCACCAGTGACGACAGCCTCATCGGGACCGAGGATAACTGTACCTGATACCGGACTGCTCGTGTCCTCGTCGAATTTTAATCGTCTTGCGTGCTTTTTCTTGGGTCGCTGAATAGTCTTGTCGTAATTTGATGATTTAGGTGTAGCTGTTGGTGTTACACTCGATATATCGTCCTCATCTCGGGGACGACGTCGTGGACATTGTGGTGGTGATGGTGTACTTGGTGGTGTCATGGGGGCGTGCAGCTGGAGATGATGCTGGGGTGTTAAAAGAAGTTGCTGCTGGTAATCGTGAATCGATCGTGGTGATGACAGGTGGTGTTTCGGTGTCACTGGACTCGGTGATCGGTATCCCAGTGGCTCGGGGTACAGGTGTCCAGGTTTAACTGTACTCGATTTTTGAATGTCCTGGGGATGATCGTAGTAGGTACGTGGCTCCTCTGGAATTGAATCCCAGGGATTGGGATAGGGTTTCTCCGGGTAGTCCTCCACATCGTCAACCTCGATTGTCTCGGACTCGTCGTTGATCTGGGATGTTGTTGATGGTTTGACTGATAGATCCAGGGGACTTGGACTCACTGATATCTCTGGTGATACTGCCTGGGGATGGGATTGATATGTCTCCAGGGGTAGATATCTCGGTGTTACGTAGGGATGAATTGAGTCGCTGTAGTAGCCGCCGAGGTAGCACAAACTCGGCGGCGGTATAAATGCTCTCGGTAATGTACTGTGCAGCATCTCCGAGACTTGATGTACTTGTAAATTTTTTTAAAATTATTGTCCTGCCTTCTGGGCTTTTATTTCCATGACTTGTCACCACTTGGGGGGGGAGTGCTCTTATTATTGTTTTAACAGAATATTTCCAATAGCTCTTGACCAGTCAGGAGCTACTGAACGACTGACAGTTCTCTTATGATTGTCAATGCTATCAAATTGATGGTTCTCCCTCTCCGGCGATTGCTCGACGCCGTTTGCTGTGGGAAACCAGCGCTTCCAACCCGTATAGTTTCAAGCTCCGCCTTTAATACCACCAAGGGACAACTCCATTGGCCATTCCACCTCCACAAATGCGGGGGGTTTTCACATACGTACGACAATGCCACGATTTTAGGGGTAGAATGGTTTTCCAGTGGAGGTATATCTTCGGGGTGACTTTTTTTCTCTTTTAGATTTTTCGGAATTTTCAGGGGTCCTACCCTTTCAGATCTTGAGGTGGTAGATCCATTTTTGAGGATTTTTTATTATATCACTCGGCAGGAATTTGAATTTTAATTTTTTTTTTCATTTTTCTCTCGAATTTGAATGGCAAAAATTGAACGCTCGTCACTCGATAATGAAAATTCATGAATCAATTGAATAATTTAGGTTGGCGAATGGTAAACAAAATCCTCTTTTGAAATAATGTGATAGAAATTGAGGGGAAGAAATTTGTTTTGCTGTTCAAGGGATTGAAAATGGCAAACTACTTTATTTCATCAAAGAAACATGTGTTTTGATGAAGAAATTTTGTGTTTTATTCCTTTTTTTTTTCTATTGTGTCCGCTGAAACACGCGAATTTTTGGATTAAACTCCACGCAAGGGGGTAATCATCCCCGGGTATTATGCATGAGCGTTAACCAATGTCCAACTTCATGTCTTATGCATGAAAAAATGGACAAATGGCTTATGAGGGTAGCTGTAACAAAAAGCTGCATTATGGCCGATGCTTTGGGGTTTTGTCTCTGGTGTATTATATTGAAATTGTCGTACTTATGAATTATTGCTGATCTCTTCAGTCATGCAAAAAGATAGTTCGTTAATAAATTAGGGAGATAATGGAGTGATGTTACTTCATGGTTTCAAAGGGAAACTTCTGGTGAAATTTATTCAAATGTCTTCATCGTCTTTCTGAAATTTTTATCGATGATGCCAATGTCTCCTGTCGTGTTTCCTTCATTTTTTGGATTTTTTCTTTTTTTTTTCTCGCCTCTCGGGTCTTTTCGATTGCTCAATCGTGATTTCAGGGGTTAATCTCGGGTTCTCTTGGGGCCATCGGAGGCCGTACAATCAACATCTAATTGGACGAGAGGTCCTTAAGTTTCTGTCAAACTCTCGATCCAAATTTATCGGTAATGACGTAAACACTGAAGCCATTACTCA